ATGTTTCATTATATATGACCTATAACCAATAGAAAGTCAAGGTTTTCATCTATCAAATGATGCATTGTATAACATTGTGTTCTGAACAGTTAATCATCAATTTCACTCAGAGTAGCAGCATCGTTCCTGTGGAAAAGTTAATGACTAGGTTGGATGAATTTGTTAAGCATGTGTTAAACTGCACATTAACATTCAGTTGGCAAAATAGTAATTTAGCATATACCAAGTTAAAGAAATTTTTTCCTAAAACCTATGAAATCTATCGCACATTTTATTCTGTATATCACAGTGATGCTTATGGTTACTAGAAAATGGTTAAAGAAACTTGTATTTTATAGGCAACTTTGTGGTTTCTCGGTATAGCTTTATATAATGCATTATTTAATGTTGGCCCAAATTTGTTACAAAGTGTGAATTGATGGGGGGTAAGAGTATTAACTTTATTAACATTCTAAGTTGAAGTTTGTGGTTTTGTAATAACTCTGTATCTCGTGGCAGCATATGCACTTTCAGTTTTCATGTCACAATTTGAAACAGTTATCTTGCTTATCAAATTCGTGCCCCTCAGTGGCACAGCGGTATGTCTGCGGACTTGCAATGCTAGAAACCGGGTTTCGATACCCATGGTGGGCAGAGCACAGATAGCCCATTGTGTAGCTCTGTGCTTAACTTCATACAAACAAACTTATCAAATTCAGTAAGCTGGGGTTCCTTAAAATGTAACTCGTTCCTTAATATAATACACATTAAAACGACTTGGAGCTTTATAGGGTAGCATTTGTTTCTGCTTCTATACAAATTCATTTGTTAATTTTGAACATAATTTTCCTTTTTAACTGGTATATGAAAGTGCATGTTGGATATTGGGTTTGTGATGTGTGCTCTTATTAATATTTTGCTATTTATAAGAAGGCTTCATTGCATGAATCTATATTGTTTGGATTTATTGTCTTGAGTTGCAGAAAAGAAAAAGTGCACTAAAGTTATGACATGCAGTAAAAAAATTACTAACAAAAATACCAGTATTTTGTACTGTATGGATAAGAGTATTTTTTATCAGTAATTGATTTTTGGCTATTTGAATATATTGTTCAAAACTAGAACTGGGCAGTTAGTGGAATTTGCTAATCGATTAATGTTTGGGCTCATTAGATTATATTCAACTGATCGATTATTCTCAAATAAGACTTGGATAGTTGGACTAATGATAAGTAATAATAATTGGAAACACTAATTTTGATTATTTTCATTATCAGTTTAATGTTAATTTTAGTTAATTGATTATATCGAGGTAATCACTTTACTCTATTTAAAATACGACTATTAATTTAAAGAAATTTACACTTTCATTAACTCATTTTATCTTTATCAATAAAACCCTATTGCTTTTGACAGAGGAAAAACTGAATGTAAAGTGTAGATATAAGTTTAAAAAATGGAAAGTAGTGTGAGCCAGAATTAACGTTAGGTTTTGAGGGTGTAGATTACTGTAATGTTATGAGAACACCAAGAACAATTTGAAATTTGAAAACAAGGTTAGAAAAGGATGAAACAAAGTACTGATAGTTCTTGATTTTCTTTAATAATTATTTTATTATTTATATTTTATTTTTTACTCAATATAATTTTTTACTCTCATGAACATACTTTTTGGTAATGTTACTCTAAAGTTTTTAAAAAAGTTCTAAAGTTTGTGATATTTAGTAAATATATTTATTTGCTATTACTTTTAACATTCTAGCAAATTTTTATGTAAACAGCATGTGTTCACAGTTTTCAATAAAAAATATTTTGGCTACCATAACTTTGAGTATTAATATTTTATATGGAAGGTTATATAGAGGAGTATACATTTTGTGCATACTGTGTTCTTAAGGTTTGACTAAGTATTCTGAGATGAACCAGTAAAAAATGCATGATTCTCATATATAGTGTTATATAGTATAGATAAATATTAAATGAAGCATCACTTACATACATTTAGTTTTGACATGTAAATTTCTTATAAGTTAAATTTGTTTGTAAGTACTCTGAATTACAAAAAAAAATAATGAAAAAAAACTACAAAAATTGTTGAAAATATTGAAGAAAACATCCGAGTTAAAAGAAGTTTGCTGTAGAATTAGTCAGTGCTGTATGTTCTCACTGTGACAGTAATTATCTCACACAACCACTATAATATATATATAATGTATTATGATGCATTTTCTATTATCAACTTTACTTGAACTTTGGGGATTTCTAAATTTCTGTATGTCCTATAGTTCCAAAAACAGAAAGCATAATATTTAAATGCAATAGCTCCACAGTTCATGATATAAAAAACACACAAGGCATTGTTGTTCAGATAACCTAGTGAAAGGGACACTTTTATTTCATGCAGTAAGGTTTATTTTACATGTAAGTTCAAAATTGTTTTTAAATTTTTAATGCAGATTAGTCCTAATGACCTGGAGTAGGCTACTCTTCTGTCCTACTTCAATAACCATTGGTTGTTTAGATTGTAACAGTAGCTGTGCTTTTGTTATATCATTCTGACCTAAAGCAGTACTTGAAAATATAAATATATATATATATATATATAAATTAATAAAAACAGTAATGGAAAAATTTATTGCATCACCCAATTTTTTCACACTTTTTTTTGGAATTGTCTGGTTTGAGGCCCTAATACATGTAGGTACAAGTGTGTTTCATGGATGATGCAATACTTTCTAATTAGTAATATCACCAGCTTTATAGAGTGGATGGATATTGCATCAGCAATTTGTTTTGGCCGTTCTTATAGAGAGTCAGTTTAGAAACCTATCTGTTATAACATTTATGGGATGCTACCATAACCAAGGGTTGCAAGTTAACTCCATGGAAAAAAGTAGTCATTGTTTCTTTGAGCATTAAGGATGTTCAACAAGGCAGATGGATAAAAGAATTAAATTTAGCTAGTCTAGTGTGAGCCGCTTGATGCAGAGATATAGAGAGACTGGCTGTGTGGAGGTAGGAAGAAAGCTTCCATAACAGTTACTATTGTGTTCTGAAATGAATGAGCCTGCAGAATCACTGGCAGATCTCAAAATAGCATGACAGGAAACTTCAGGGGTTACTGTCACCTTGCACACCATCCAGTCTCACCTGGATTCAGTTGGTCTCCCAGCAAGATGGCTGAAAAAGAAACTTCTACTCACCAACAAGATGAGGAAAATGAGACTCAAATGGCTGGACTGAAGCAATGCAGAGCAAAGTGATTTCAGTTAAAACAAAGTTCAACCTATACAGGCTTGATGGGAAGCACTTTGTACAACGTCAGTGTGGAAAAAGAGTTTCATCCGGTGTGTTTGAATACAACTGTGAGGCACTGACAGGGTCAGTTGATATGGAGATACATCTCTGGCCAGGAGGTTGATGCTTGTGTTTTGTAAAAGGCACTGTCAACCTTACTAGGATTATTTTAAGTTGCATATTACTGTAAAAATGTATACATTTTCCTAGTAGTAAACAGATTTGCAAAGTTTTAAAATTAATTTGCACTAAACTACAAAAACAAAAAAAACTATCCTTACACTAACAACCACAACCTGACAAACCTGTGGTAAAAATATAATAGTATTTACTGCCATAAACAGGTTCAAATAATTGCACATCATGTAATATTACAATCAGCCAGATTTACAACACATTTTACGTAATTGAAATTCCACTAAATAACTGCTTGGAGATACAGCAATGTTTTTAATGAGAATTTTCAAGAAATGGCATCATAGTACTTGATGTGATAATGCTTTTTTTCCTTTCCAGGAACGAGATCTAGGAGACGAGTATGGCTGGAAACAAGTGCATGGTGATGTCTTTCGACCTCCATCCCATTTTATGCTGTTCTCTTCCTTGATAGGATGTGGTTACCAAATTTTCATTGTTGCTTTTTCTGTAATCATATTTGCCATACTTGGAGAACTGTACACAGAGTAAGTTTTTTTTTAATGTTTTTGAATGAAATAATGTTGTATATGGAAAATTTCTGTATTGTAATAAAATACTACTTTAAATGGAACTTTTCAAAAAGTGATTTTATAGTTTCTCCTGTATTAAGATACTTGTTTGGTTTTTATTACAAGGAATTTATAAAATAACTTTAAGTAACGACAGACATTTTATTCTTAAATCACTACATAGATTGTAAGGACACCCATTTACCTAAAGTTTTCTGAAAAGCACACAGTTGATTAAATCCTAAATAATACATTTATAAAGAAACTTAATAATAGCATGTTTCTGGCTGAGTTAATTTCTAAACTCTTTAAGCCTGTAATTTTTTTCACATTATTTTGAAATTATTTCATGATTTCCTAATAATTATCACCATACTTTATAAAATTTCAATTTTCTTAATTTTGTGGATAACATGGTTTGAATTAGTTTTCAGCCAAAGAGACAAATTTTTTTGGATGCTGTCACTGTCTGATGAGTAAATCAGGATTTTTGGGCAGAGTGTCCGCTCAGGTTTAAGGAGTTAATTTATGAAAACATGTTTTGGCAAAAAAAAAGTATTTATTGTAATTTTATAACAAATTTTGCCTTTGGTGTTGAATGACTACAAAATGATTACCATAGGCAGTTAAGCCATATAACCCTATCCTTTTCCTCAGTTACACTAATGTCAACATTGAACTTCCTGCATAGTTTTATATTATTAGGAATAAAAAAACATGAACATTTTGTAAATGACCACAGACATTTAATTCTCTCATCATTAAACAGATTGGAAAGGCACTTGTTTACTTTAAGTTTTTTCCGAAAAATACACTGTTGATTACATCCTGAATAATAAGTTAGCAAAAAACCTTAATAGCAGCATGTTTCTGAATGAGTTAGTTTTTTATATTACAAATAAATTTTTTAGTAGAAAAGTATTTATTGTAATTTCTCAACAAATTTTGTCCTTGGTGTTGAATGACTATCAAAATGATTGATAGAAGCAGTAAATACATATAATCCTTTTCTTTTCCTTGGTTACAATGATGTTAAGAAAACTGTGTAGAAAAATGTTTTAGATAAAACAGTCTTAATAACTGGGAACAAAGATGTAGGAAGATTTGAATTTGTAATCTACAAAGTGGAACTTACGAAAATTAAAAATACAAAACCCAATTATATGACTGAATTTATCATAAATGTATGCATTTTAATGATGAAAAAAAACCTTTACCATATCATCCATTTCTTCATCTTTACTGTAGCGTGCATAATCCTTTCGTAGAGTTCTCATTAAAATCATGCTCACCAAACCAACTAAGAAAATCACCATCATGAATGAGTTGAATATGGAAAACCAGTGGATCTGGAGTGAAAACAGATAATTTCCATTATCAAAATGTGCACAAGTATATCTACAACTTTAAAATGAAGCAAGAAAGGAAAAATATTGTAAACCCTTAGAGTAAATTATTCTCAGGGATGGAAGTAGAAAGCATTGCAAAGCGAATAGAGATAAAATCTTGTTTAAATGTGATGTATATTTACATACAGCTAGCTAGAAAATAGTGATTCAGTTATTTTGTCTTCTGCTCTAAAACACATGTAAAATGAAATACTGTGTAGACAATGCACTACATCTCACTGAAAAAGTTTTGTGCCACTTATTTAATTCCTCCAGTAATGTTACTTCATGACTGGAGGATAAAATTTGGTTGATGTGTGTTGCAATTAATCACGAGTTTGGTAGATTTCAGCTCATCAGGCCGAGAAATTTCCAACTGACACTTTTAATTTTGTAATGAAAAAAATGTCAAGTAGTAATAATTATCCCTGCATTCTAACTGTAAAAAACTGGATATCAGAACTCAATGAACCATAAATATGGCTGTACAGCAGATCTAGCATGAAGAATGTTGACTTTATATATTGCCAGCTTTGCTCAAAATGTGAAGGTATTGCGAGGCGTGAGGAATTTTAAAGATTTGTTCTTTACAGGATTACAAGGAGCTACCTTAAAAAAAGGATGGTGTTGTAAAGCGCTCCTAATCAGAATGTTGTATTTGAGCACATGAGATAGAGAGCAGATCAGTTTGCTGAAGAGATTCTTAAAAAATGCTATTAGGCCATTCATGGCATATTGGAGAGCAGAAGGACAGGCAATGTGTTTCTTGTTTGATAACTCTAGCTTACACACTCACAAAAAACTGCCCTTACAAAACAAATTTGTAGATTTGGAAAAGAATCATGGAGTGGATGTGGGAACAATAGACAAGGGTTCGGAGAAGTTATGCATATAATCAGCAAAGATTTGGAAAACAATCTTGTAAAAGAACTAAAGAAAATCAAATTTCTTCTTTCCTCCTTGATGGAAGAACTGATGCTACAAATACTGAAAAAGAGCTGCTGTTTCTCAAGTAGGTATCAATGGACATGCTTGTAAAAAACAGCTTACTGGGATATGTTATCTTTCTAATCAACATCCTCTCTCTCTATATATATATATATATATGAATCATATGTGGTTCTTTATTATCATAAAAAATATTATATAATA